CTAATGTGTGTGTGTGTGTGTGTGGGGGGAATCAAATCCAGGGCCTCACACATCCAAATCACAAACTGTACCACTGAGCCATACCCACACATCCTTGCTTAACTTCTTGCTGGAATTGAGCCATGACATTCCCGCCCCTTGCTAATGCTCTTACTCTGAAGCTGTTGTGACTGTCACCTTCATGTCCTTACTCCTTCTGGGATAAGGGTGGGAAGGTGGTAGAAATGCAGCTTTGAGGTGTGTGTGTGCGCATGTGTGTGTGCTTGTGTGTGTGTGTGTGTGTGTGTGTGTGTGTGTGTGCACACGCGCACATGTTTGCCTGGAGCCTCGCATAATCTTTGAGTACCATGTGTACCTAAACCTTCACTTGCACACAGACCTTAGAGCTGCACTGGAACCAGGGAGTAGAGGCAACAGCTCTTCCCCTAAACCAGGCATCATGTTGATATCTCTTAAGTCACAGGTCTGGGGCCACAGCAAGAGAGGAAAGATGGAAATGCCAGGAAGAAGAAGCAAAAGAAAGCTCCATTCCCCACACCCATAGTGATTCAGTTGGTCATTTGAGATGAAAAAGAGGCAGAATTCTTTTCAGCGACTCTGCTAGGATCTTCCTTTTGAATGCAAAGGAGAGACTGGGAACTCTTAGCAGAGGAAAATGAGGGTCTCCATCTCAATGCCTGGAGACAAAGGCCAAAAAATGTCAGGAATTTCCAAAGTGCCTCCTTTACACAGCATCTCCCCCAGCCCTGGCAGAGCCCAGAATGGGAATGGTGGCTTTCTTTCCCAGCCCTGCCTGGCCTCCTGCCCACTTGATAAAAGCTTGTATCTGAGGAGAAATGAAATTAGGAATTTCCCTGCTCAGCCCCTGCACTTGTCCTTTGTAAGAAGATACTTCTGAGAATCGGGCTGTTGATGGGCCATTTGCGTGGTTGTCCCAGTACATGGCAGGGACCTTTGCAGTAAGCAACACACTTCTCTAGCAGGCTTTCCTCCCACATGAGCAGTGCTGGCGTGGCAGATGGAGGAGACGAATTACCAGGCAATGGAATATTTCCATTCTCTAAGAAAGCCCTTCAGGAGGAGACCACCTTTGGCTTTCTTTTGTTCTCCTGTTCCATGGGACACTTACACTTCTACTGGCACAGGAAGGGTAGGATCTGGACACTGAGTTCTGTAGTCCCTTCAGTTCCACTAAGTTCTGCCACCTGCCACTAACTTTCTTGCACTCCCACTAGTCAACATCATAAAAAATAATAAAGTAGGGCTGGGGATTTAGCTCAGCGGTATAAGCACCTGCCTTGCAAGCAGGTGGCCGTGAGTTCGATCCCCGGTACTGATTAAAAAATAATAATAATAAAGTATATGAGTTTACTGGCAGATAAAAGTACCACAGAGAAACAACCATGAGTTTTAAGGAAAGGTAAAAGGATCACATCCCTAGGATTTTGAGAATGATAAATGGGGAGAATGAGAAAGAGGATTGAATCATTATTATGATTTAGATGGAGAAGTCTCCCCAAGAGCTTCATGCACTTGTAGATGATGCTTTTAGGTGATGATTAGATTATAGGTCTATGATAATCATTAGTGGATTAGTCTACCGATAAGTTTTTGGCTAAATGAAATCCTTGAAAGTAGGTCCAAATCAAGAGAGGCGAGTGACTGGGATGTGGTCTAACTGGGCGATTCTTCCCGCTCCTGCCCTTCTCTTGACTCTCTCTGCTTCCTGTTTGCAATGCCATGAGCAATCCCCCTTTGCCATGCTGTCCCGCCTTGGTGATATAACTGTGGTGACTCTTCCTACAGTTGAGTATGGGTTAGGATGGTGACTCCTGGCTTCTTCAGGGTGATAGAGACTTATTTAGAATATCAGTTTTTAGGATGTGGATGTATTTGTTTGATCTTTTGTCTTGGGGTCTAGCCCACAGCAGGGAGGTGTCTGTTTCCTCCAGGGTTGCAAGATATCTGACCTTTATCTTTCTTTTTTCTTTAAGTCTTTTTGAGACAGGGTCTCCTCATGCAGCCTTGAGCTGACTTTGTAGCCCAGGGTGGTTTCAAACTTGCAAAGATGCTCCTGCCTCAATCTCCCAAGTGCTGGAATTACAGGTATGCAACACCACACTCAGCAATATGTGGCCTTCTGCACTGGCTCCTTTGAGGGCCCATCCCTGTCTGATTGCCTATAATATTTCTATCTAACTCAGCTGCCTGTAACATTGGAGCCACCCGACTATGGACTGAAACCTCTACAAACTGTGAACCAAAATAAACTTCTTCTTCCTCTTCCTTCTTCTTCAAAAAAGCACGTGTTGAGGAGTCAGGGTAGTATGCATGCCTGTGATCCCAGGTATTCAGGATACTGAGACAGAAGGATCACAAGTTCAAGGGCAGCCTGGGAAACTTAGTGAAACCCTGTCTCAAAATCATAAATAAATAAATAAATAAAAAGGGCTGTGGCTGTAGCTCAGTGGGTACAGCATTTACCTAGGATATAGGTATATAGGTATAGAGATCTGAGTTCAATTCCCAACACCACACACACACACACACACACACACACAGTGTCTATTAGAAAGAAGCGCACCAGGATCCCTGGCAGTCTGAACAAATGTCTGCCAGACTTCACTGTACCAAACAATTTGTTATCTCCTTCTCTTCTGTAGAACAGTGGGCTTTTGGGGATGATTCCTCGGAAGACGATAAAAGATAGAACTTGGCAGCACACAGATAACCTTTGAGGAGGGGGGGGGCGTGATAGTGGGCTACACAACCCCTCTAGGCTGCTCCAGTCATCATCACATGGCAGGGAAACCGCCTCTGCCATTGCCGTGGCCGCCCGCTTGGTAGACTGGCTTCAAATGCTTCCTGCCACCCGCCCCCCCCCCCCCTGCTTACAGAATCTTTTCTTCATGCCCTTGCCAGCTGCACAGCCTGCAGCAGCACCCTCTAGCCACTGACTCTAGCCGGGGGCTCGGTGTGGCTCTGGAGGCCCTGCAGCAGTAGAGGAAGCCCTGTTTTCTCCCAGCCTCTGACCAGCACCACGCAGAGGCTTCAGTATGGCTGGCTGCCGGTGGTGCCGCCAAGTTCTCATTCACCCCTCCTCCTCCGTTTCACCAACTCCCTATGGCTGGCTCTGGATGTTGCAGTCGATTTTCCTGGAGGAATCTGACAAACTCTCCCTGCTCCCTGGTGTGAGATCCAGGTGGCCCCAGAGCCTTTGTTATCTTATTAGTTGCTTAGCCTTGGGTAAGTGATAAACTTTGAGCCTCTTTTCTCTCATCTGTGAAATGGGGAAAGCAATTCCTCACCTTTCAGAGATTGTGATAATAGAATGAGATAATGATTGTGTTGTGGTAGGTGTTAGAAAGAAGGAAAAGAAGAAACAGAGGAGGGGCTGGGGATTTAGCTCAGTGGCATAAGCACCTGCCTTGCAAGCAGGCAGTCGTGAGTTCCATCCCTGGTACCGATAAAAAACAGAACAAACTTGAAAGAGCCCACTCTGGCAGACCCTGGCTCCTGTACAAGCTACTACTGTGAAGAGCAGGGCCGATTGTGTTAGGAGTCCCCAGGTGCAGCTGCAGTGGTGAAGCAGGGGAATGAAACTCCCAGCCTACTAGAAGTCCCAGTACGAGTTTTGTGTCCTCTAAAATTGAAGAATGAATTTTAGGAACAACGGAAGTAAAGAGCAGAATATATTTATTGAGAGAAAGAAAGCTTCTGTCTGGGCCAGAAAAGGGGTCCCAAGTGGGTTGCCAAAGACTGTCTTTTCTAGGGACATTTATAAAGCAAAACCACAAGGTGAGGTGGTCCAAGGTGGGGAAAAATAAGGTGGGACAGAACTGTGGTCAATTAGTAAGATATGACTGTAATTGCTCAGGTAAAATAGATTAAATCAGGAATGAATGTGGAAGCCAGTCACATAGCAAGCAGGCATGCTTAAGGTAGTGACTCTTCCTGTAGGGGGTTGGGCTGGTGACTCCTGACTTTCTCAAGGAGATAGAGAACTATTTAGACTACCAGTCCTTAAGATATGGGTGTATCTGCTTTGCCTTTTGTCTTGAGATCTGGCCCACAGCGGGAGGTGTTTGTCTCCTCCAAGGTTAAGAGGTATCTATCTGGCCTTCTGCATTGGCTCTTTTGAGGACTTATCCCTGTCTGACTGCCTATAATATTTCTAATTACTCAGCTGCCTGTAATAGTGGGAAGGGCAGTTTAGAGGGTCTCTAATCATGACAGCAATGGCCTCATTTCTTCAGTAGGTACCCAAGGACCACCTTCCCTCTTTTGCCTGCGTGCCCTCAGTTTGAATGTACTCAATACTGCACTGCACCCATCGCTAAGATTTTTCCTTTGAGACTGTCTTTGGGATTAATGAGGAATATTTGATAGTCTCAAACAGTGTGTGACTCCTTGAAGTCAAGGGGAATCCTCTTCCAGGGGCTCTCACAGTGAGGTCCCCCACCAGCAGCACCTGCAGCATTTGTTAGGAATGCAATTGCCAGACCCCAGTCTTAGTAAACCACTAACTCACTGACTCGGGGGTGGATGGGTGGGCAGCAGTCTATGTTGAAATAAATCCTCTAGATTCTGTTGAGGTGAGTTCAAGTTTAAGAACTATGCCAGCCAGATGTTATGTTTGGGATCCAAAACGTCCCCCCAAAAGCTCACTGTGTTGAAAGTGTGGTTGCCAGAGGATGGGCTTTCAGAACTGACTGAATATTAGGGCTTAGTTGAAGGAAATAGGTCACTGGGAGTTGACTTTGAAAAGTGTGTATTGTCTTTGGCACTTTCCCTTCTCTCTGCTTCCTCACTGCCATGAGAGAAAGGTTCTTCTGTACACTTTCCTTGTGCATGTCTCGTCACATTTCATAGCGGTGGGGATTCTGATAGTGGATGATGACACAAAAGATACTGGTCTTCCAAAGACTCGCTCACTGGCCAGCTGGTGCACCCAGCCCTGGGGCTCGGAGGTGGTGTCAGAGTCAGGATTTCCAGGACGCAGTGAATTCAGTTGGTCAGTGCTTAACCTCTATGGACCCAGAGGAAAGATCATCAGCATCCCAGGCAGCTGTCCTCAGGGGGCAGGGCCACCCGGGTGGCCAAGAAGGCTGAGCCTGGCATGAATGGAGACCTTGTGCCACATCCCTCACTGGAGCCAGGAGCCACAACACAGGGGCTTTTCACGAGAAATCTTACAACAGGGATGGCATTAAGCGTGACCAGTGGCCAGCGGGCAGACGTGGGGTCTGGAGGACACGTGGCATCAGTGGCATAACATCTCTGCTCCTCCTGATCCTGCCTGAGTCGAGGAGCCACTCAGAGGTCTCTTTCCTGACGGAGGACACATTGTCACAGGGACCAGAGCTGCAGCCGCTCTCCGAGAGCCCCTCAGCTGCACAGAATGTGAGTGAAAGGGCTACTGTGTGCCGGGAGGAGCCAGCTGGGTGGGAGCAGGTTACAGATTGAGCTTGGAGACAGCACCGAAGCACAGCTCTGCGGGTAATGCTGGAGAAGGGAGGTGCTGGCTGCTGTGCTGTGCAAGGGATGGGACCCTAGGGGCCCCTTCTGTGGGAAGGGGGTGTCCCTGAGGGGTGAGGAGGAGTTGCAGCCCTGCTGAGGGAGCTGTTGGAGAGAACAGGAACTGATAACAGCTGCCCCAGGGCAATTAGAGCAGCATGACAGTGAGATGGGACTGCTGAGTTTATTATTTATTCGTTTGGTGCTAGGAAACATCGTGAAAACAGTGCTTCTAAAGGAAAGCATAGAGACACCCTTCCCCATATATAGACACCAGATCCATAGATACACACTCTTCCTCTTATATAGACACCTTCCCCATATAGACACTCTTCCCATAGATAGACACCCTCCCCATAGATAGATATTCTCCCTCTTATATAGACATCTTTCCCACATAGACACCTTCCCCATATATAGACATCTTCCTTATATAGATACCCTGCCCCTATATAGATACTCTCCCCATAGATAGATATTCTCCCCCTTATATAGATTCCTTCCCCATATATAGATACCCTTTAACATATATAGACACCCTGCCCATAGATAGATATTCTTCCTCTTATAAATACCCTCCCCGTATATAGATACCCTTCCTTATATACAGACACCCTCCTCATACGTAGATACTCTCTTCCCATATAGACAGTCTCACCTTTATAGACCCAGTCCCAGTCTAGAGACAGCTTCTCCCATATATAGATGCTCTTTCCCCATATGTAGGTACCTTCCATACAGTTACATCTTGCCCCATATAGAGATACCTTGCTCTGCTTAGATACGTTTTCTCTCTGTCCACCTGCAGCCAACCCTCACCTACTGAGGGTGGTTAATCAGTTAGTTAGCCAGAGTCTGTCTGCTTCTTTTCCTGGGACCACATTTTTTTCTAGTGTGACTAAGTGTCCGGATCAACTCCCAACCAAAAGACTTCCCTGGCACATGGGATGCTCATGTGTGTATACATGCATGTGCAGCACACATGTTCAAGGGGTGATCAAAGTATGTGGTGAATGTTTTAAGTTTTTAAAAGTGATTGCAGTAAGACATGTTGCCATCTAAACCACTCCCCTTCACTTCAAGCATATGTGTCCTATCGTTCTTGTCACTTTCTGAAGTTGTGCTGAAACTTCTCTCATGAGCGTCTTTACGGGGTGTGATTACAGATGCAGTGAATGCTGCGTCTGGGTGCCATCTAACAGAGAGGCAGCTTGTAGAAACCTCACAATGTGTTCTCTCCCACCTTTTTCACTGGACTTAGGAGGACAGATTTGGGACCAGTGGAGCTCAGGCCTGACTTTCTCCAGGTTCCCCAGCCCACACTGTCCAGCTCTGTGTTGGCCTCCTCAGCAGCTGCTCTCAGGCTGCAGCTACTGTATTGTGGTGACACATGCATGGAAGTTGCCTTCTTCTTGAGCTTGGTGGCAGGGGAAAGGGACCTGGGAACATCCTAGGGGCCTGGTGTGTCTCGCCTTCTTAGTGACAGCTGCCTGGCCTTGCGGCCCTTGATTGTCAGGGAAAATGCTGCCTTTTTCATTCAGTCTTCTACCAGGGACAAACAAATAAATGGTCCCAACCAGGACCTCTTGAGGCCCTGGTAGGTCATGTGCAACTGTCACTGCTGGGACATCTGTCATCCTTGTCCAGAGACTCCCTTGGACCCTGCCCAGGCCTCACAGGCTTGGGGCTGGAGTGAACCAAGGAGGCACCTGGAGAGGAGACTGGAGGCAGAGGGGAAGACTTGAGTGAGCAGTGGGCACGACCGAACCCTGGTCAGCAGCAGTGTGTGTGTGGTACTGGAAAATGAACCCAGGGCCTTTGCACGGAACTGTATTCCCAACTCTGTATTTATTATTTGAGACAGGGTCTCCCTAGGTCATTATGCTGCCCCAGGTTATGCTTCCACTTGTGATTCTCCTGCCTTGGCTTAGCAGAGTGCTGGGATGACAGGCATTCCCCACCAGACAGCTCCTCCTTCGCCCCAACCCAGCTTGGTTAAACTGGACAGGCTGAGGCCGCCTGTGTAAACGCCAGGATCCCCACTGCCTTCTGCACTCTGCCTTATTCTATGAACCACTTTTTCTCTTGTTCCTGATTCCTTTTTCTATTTTCTCTCCACTCTTCCCTGTCCATACCTCAGCTTTCTCCTCCCCAGCTGGTAGTCCTTGCCCCTCAGCCTAGGAGAGGCTTCCACTTTCCACCCCAGCTACCCTGACCCCTGGCTTTGTTTTTCTTTGCAGTACTTAGGACAGCTGGACACTGATCAGTTATAAATTCGTGTGTGTGATTGGGGCTTGTCTCCTGGACATGAAATAGAGCAAGAACAGACTAGTTCATTTGCTACTAGCTATGCAAGTGCCCTTGTATCACCATTCACAAGTGAACGAATGAAACCAAATTTAATCCCATGCTTCAGGCTACGGTACCTGGGCTCTGTGTTTGCAAGGTTCCCAGATACCTGGGTCTGGGGAGAAAATACCCTGCAGTTCTATAACTTCACCTTTGCACCCTGAGTGAGGGGGGTCCGGAAGACAGGGAAGATTTTGAGGTACATGGTCATTGACAGAACTGATTGCTTTACCCACCCTTGGTTTTTTGGCAACCGAGACCCACAAACTTGCCTTGCTCTTGCTAGGTTTTCGTGTGAGTCCTGCTCCTTGGACACCCGCATTCCTTTGGTCCCGAGCACAGACTTCATTTCTCCTATGCCCAGCTGCATCACTCTGTGGCTAGTGCTGCTTTGTGAATGAGTACCAGGTCCTGGAGGGATAACAATACCCGTGTGCCCTTGCTCTTATTACAGAGCACTGATGGAGGCCCAGAAAGGTGGAGTATAGCTGATGGGATTGTGATTGGCAGAGCCCAGAGCTCACTGATTTTTCCTTTGTGGAGCTGAATCCATTCTTGGGGTGTATCTCTGTACAAAATGGTAGGACAATACCATCCACATAGCATTATAACAAAATTAACAAACAATTTTCACTTGTTCATTGTTTACAATGTGTGGAACATCACCAAGATGCTGTCCTTGAAAAAAACCATTTATCTCCATTTTGGCTAAAACTGGTCCTAATTCCATGCATTGCTATGTACAGAGCTGGTTAGGTTAATACTTTACTCCTCAGTATGCAATGCAAATGGGTCTAGTCAGGGGCTGATTGCAACTTTTGAGGCAATGGACAGACAGATCAGTGATGCCCCACCTACAGCTCCCAACTAGTATTTGTGAGCTAGGCTCAATGTCAGCTGAGACTGAAGCTCCAGAAAGATCCTGTGACATCTCAGGGCATGAAGGCCAGACATCAAAGCTGAAGCACCAACTCCAAAACACAAGATACCTCCTCAAGCTGTGCTACACAGATTACTCTTTCTGCATATCTCTCTCTGCATACTGCTGAGGTGCCATTATGCTTCCTACCTAGCCCAGCTCACTGCACTTCCTACAATTCTTACAGTCCCTCATCCCCAAGCCACTCTCCTCTTCATGAATTAATAAACACAGGTTTGGCCCTGGTTTGAGGCTTTTGTTCTGATTGGCCATTGTTCTGACTGGACTTAGAGTGCTCTTGGCTCCCTATAACTTGTCTCTCTATTCTTGCTGTGAGCTGCACTGGAAGTGGTAGATTGGAATTATTGGAATTCTAATAACTTTTCCCTGGGATTAAAGATGCAGGCTCCTCCAGGCTGCATTGAGGCTGCAGCAGCCTCTCTGTAACAATTCACTGAGTATCGTCCGTGCTTCTTATGCATTTTGCTGTTGTCTGTTTATCAAGAGATGTGATGTCCTTGCAACAAACCTACAAGAAATCTTCTTCTGGGCCAGGTGTTTAGCTCAGTGTCACAAGTGCCTGCTTGGCAAACGTAGAGTCATGAATTAGAGCCCCAGTATCAAACAAACAAAACAAAAACAAAAACCACTTTTTCAGGCAAAGACCTTTCAGCTAAGAAGAATCTGACATTGAAGCCCATGTATATAGTGAGTCACATTTCAACTTCCTGAGTTAGATCACATCACATCTTGGCTCCTACAACAGTCCAGGGCTATTTCTACCCCGGTATCTGTCTCTTTTGAGTTTCCGTGGTTCTGTTCTCTATCTAAAGAGCATCAGCTATTTTTAAAAGCCAAAGTGTTTTTTGTACCAGGGATTGAACTCATGACCTCATACTTGCCAGGTATGCACTTACACCACTGAACTAAATCCGTGGCCCTAAAAGCCAAAGTTTGTCCTTGCTTTTAAGACTTTAGTCTAAACGTAATGATTAATGATGGTTCCTATTGTTGTTCTAAGGACTAAAAAAGATATTACAAAATTCAGGGGTAGCAAGGAAAGAATGATGGTCCCTAAGTTCTGTTCACACCAGAGCATGAAATAATAGAGAATGATCTTTGCCTCTGTGGATCCAGAATTAAACGCAGTTGGCTTTCTGAATCTGCAGCCTCTGTCTCCCCACTTTCAACCAAGCACAGATCCAAAATATTTGTGAGAAAACAACCAACCAACCCTGGGTCTATACTGAAAATATATTGATTTTTTCTTGTCATTATATTAGATTACAATGTAATCTAACAGCTATTGACATAATGTTTACAGTTTATTAAGTATTATAAGTAATCTAGGCTGGGGATTTAGCTCAGCGGCATAAGTGCCTGCCTTGCAAGCAGGCAGTTGTGAGTTCGATCCCTGGTACCAATAAAAAAAAAAGGAAAAAGACTAAAAAAAAAAAAGTAATCTAGAGATGGGCGTTTGGTGGTAGAGTTTTTTTTTTTTTTTTTTTTTTTTTTTTTTTGTATCGTGGATCAAACTCACAATCTCGTGCTGGCTAGGCAGGTGGTTGTGCCACTGAGCTAAACCCCTAGCTCCTGGGGGTAGAGTTCTTGCTTAGCA